CTTTGCATTTTCTGTAATAATCCTGATACTATTTCTGTGCATTTTCCGACTTTCAGAGTGCTGGGTCCTCTGTTCGAGCTCCTGGACAGAGCGCTCAGAGGACTGGGTCCTCTGTTCGAGCTCCTGGACAGAGCGCTCAGAGGGCTGGGTCCTCTGATTGAACTCCTGGACAGAGTGCTCAGAGGGCTGGGTCCTCTAATCGAGCTCCTGGACAGAGTGCTCAGAGGGCTGGTCCTCTTTTCAAGCTCCTGGGCAGAGCGCTCAGAGAACTGGGTCCCCTGTTTGAGCTCCTGGACAGAGCGTTCAGAGTGCTGGGTCCTCTGTTCGAGCTCCTGGACAGAGCGCTCAGAGGGCTGGGTCCTCTAATCGAGCTCCTGGACAGAGTGCTCAGAGGGCTGGTCCTCTGTTTGAGCTCCTGGACAGAGTGCTCAGAGGGCTGGGTCCTCTAATCGAGCTCCTGGACAGAGTGCTCAGAGGGCTGGTCCTCTTTTCAAGCTCCTGGGCAGAGCGCTCAGAGAACTGGGTCCCCTGTTTGAGCTCCTGGACAGAGCGTTCAGAGAGCTGGGTCCTCTGTTCGAGCTCCTGGACAGAGCACTCAGAGGAGTGGGTCCTCTATTTGAGCTCCTGGACAGAGCGCTCAGAGGACTGGGTCCTCTGTTGAAGCTCCTGGACAGAACGCTCAGAGGGCTGGGTCCTCTGATTGAGCTCCTGAACAGAGCGCTAGAGAGCTGGGACCTCTGTTTGAGCTCCTGGACAGAACACTTAGAGGGCTGGGTCCTCTGTTTGAGCTCCTGGACAGAGTGCTCAGAGGGCTGGGTCCTCTGTTCGAGCTCCTAGAAAGAGAACTCAGAGGGCTGAGTCCTCTGTTCGAGCTCCTGGGCAGAGCACTGAGAGGTCTGGGGTTTCTGTTTACCCGAACTCTGTTTATTTTTGGCTGTAAATGCTCTAAAGCTCAGTGTTCTAAATGAACTTTAATTTCTTAGTAGGAAAGGCAAAGTTAGCCGTTTGGAAGTCCTTCAGATCAGTGTCTGAAGGGCAGGAGGTGGATGTTTTGAAGTTCTTCCAAGCCCTAGACACAATCATGCATTAGAGTTGAGTTTGTTTTTTATCAAAGTAAAAAAGTGTGCTGGTCAAAGCATTGTATCTGTTAGTGATAAGAGTGTGATAATATTTCATTGGTAAATCTTTTTTTTTGGGGGGGGGGTCCTCATTACTATTATTACTATTAGCTTTTTCTTTACTCTAACATGTAAAATCTCTTAATCAATAATGTTTTAATAAAGGGGGTTTATTGGGATGAATTGCAATTAACAACTGTTGCTAAACTGGGAAAGTGATAAAATTGGTAATAATAATAATACATACATACACACACATAAATACATTAAACACATAAAAGTCATTTCATACAAATGTAATAAACAGAAAATGTGAAATGTGTCTATTTCTCTCCGACATTTCTCTCACTCTTATATCTCTATCCCTCTCGTTCTCTTTTTCTCTTTCTCACTCACTCTCTCTTCCTCTCCATTTCTCTTTCCTCTCTCTTCCTCTGTCCCTGTGTCTTCTCTGTCCATCATTTTTTTTTCATTTTTTGTCTATTCCCTGAATTGCATTTTATTGCTTTAGCTATAATTTGATTCTAGATCATTGTGGAATTCTAGAAATTGATGTCATCTTCTGAAGCGTGAGGTTTTCATTCTATTGCATTGTGTGCTGTGGACAGTGGAGTGAAGTGTTTTGTGTTTGAATTATATCACTGTATAATATCACTGTATTATCTTCTACTTCAATAGTAGAATTGTCTGTATTGTATATCTATGAATGCAATGGTAAAACAGAGACACTTTTCACTTCAGCACAGCATCTTCCCACAGAGTGTGTACATGTATCAGTGTGTGTGTGTGTGTGTGTGTGTGTGTGTGTGTGTGTGTGTGTATGTGAGTCATCACAGTGACCTAGAGGGACAGACAGCTCCATTCCATAGGGAACATGTCTCTCTCTCTCTCTTTGTTCTTCACATTTCCTCTCCTCTTTTCTCCTCATCCCCTCTTCACATCCTCCTCTTCTTCTGGCTCAGTGCCAATCACTCACAAATCATCCATTTATTCAGCTTGGGCATTGACATTTGGAACAAGTTTCCAGGAGCTGATGTTATGGAGAATCAGAGAAGTGGCACTCACTGTGTGTGTGTGTGTGTGTGTGTGTGTGTGTGTGTGTGTGTGTGTGCATGAAGGGCTTAGTTTCGACAATTTGTAAAGGATGACGTTCATTTGGATTAAAAGTATTAATGCAAGTACTGTAGCATCAGTGGCGATAATTAAAAACACATGAACATTTCGAGTAGGTACCGCATATTTAACTGCATTTCAAGGAAAACCCCAGTGTTTATCAACCTAATGTCTATTGCCATGAACAATAATTCTGATGCATTTCCCTCTACTTTGAAAAAAAAATCAACTAACTCGAAAACCACTTATAAAAGTAATTTGGGGTGAAGTGAACGGGCATTCAATGAATTCTTTAAATATGAAATAAAGATTGTCTTACCAAAGCAGTTTTATCTAACTTTTTATCACAGCAAAAAAGCAGTCCCAGTCACTGTCTTCTCCCTAAAGGCCACTACACACTGGACGCTGTACCACATAGAACATGCATAAGTGAGAGTGCTGATAAATATCAAGCTCAAGCTCATTTTTTGCTCTGAATGTATAGAGTTAATGCAATAAAACGTTCAATGTCATTCACATCATCACATTTGGGTATGAGCTATATGCCTCTTTGTAAACTTGCTGTTTTCAAGCTAAAAGGTACAAGGTAAAAAAAAAAAAGACTGGACTAGTAATGCTGGCTGATATAACAGACAATTAGCTTCTGTCTGCTTACCATATAGATTTTTAGATTGACCTTAATGGGGTGTCACAGTTCAAAAAAGATGTTCTTTGAAGGGCTCCTTAGTAAAGGAAATGGTTCTATTTATAACCATTAGATCTCTATAGAGTCACTTCACGCTTAAATGAATCTTTGCATGGTGATGCAAATATATGGAACCTTTTTGAAAATTGTTCTATAAAGCACCAAAAAGGGTTCTGCTATTGTTACAAGCTTGACATTGTGACAAGAGCAGAACCCTCTTTTCTTCTATTCTCTATTCTCTAATCAGTCTCTATTGTCTATTCTCAAGAACTATTTCAGCATGCAAAGAACTTTTTAAGCATGAAATAATATGAAATAATATGAAAATATTTCAAGCTTCATCTGCCATTAATTTATGTGGTCTGTTTCTGGGTTAAATTAATTTTGTTCTAAAAAAATATGAGTGGTTTGGGCTGTGTGCAGTGGGCGTTGATGCTGAATGTCAGTGATGGTGTGTGCACCCTCATTGAAAACAGTGGTTTCGAATTTCTTTACATTACACAATGCGGCACATCCAGTGTGCAGTGACTTTAAGTTTTCTTGTATCATTGGTGATCAGCCTGAGTCTGTGAAAACTCTGCCCACACCAGTAAACTGGTTATGAGTATCCATAAATAATTCCCTCTGGAAGACTAGTCCTGTCCCTGAATACACCGAAGACTGCAGCATTCATATAAATGTTCTATTATAACTGTGTCATGAGCTCACAGTTTTTCTGTCCACATCAAAATTATTGTGCATGGTAATTGACAATATGTTAGAGGTAAGACAGAGACTATGTTGGAAGGTGCTGGGATATTTCTTTAAGTAAGAATTTTGTGTGTACTTCAGCATGTAATCCTGATCTACCTTCCTGCTGACTAACTGTTGCTGATCAAACTCCACTCTTGGTTTAGATCTGAAAAAATCCACAGGTGTTTCTGTCCATCCTTCCACTGTGAGAAGACAACTCAACACTATGAGTCTGAAAGGATGCTTACCTGTCAAAAAGCTGTTACTGAGTAAAGAAAATAGATGAAAAAAGTGATAAAACAAACAAAAAAGAAACTAAGATGCTTCTGGTGTTCTCAGAAAAATGGACTGGCCATCTCAGAGTTCAGACCCCACTATCATTGAAAGTGTTTGTGATTACTTGGATCGGAAAAGCAGAAAATGCAACCAACTTCTAAGACTGAACTTTGGAGGTGTGGAAAAATATCCCTACATTCCTTTGAAAAAGGAAAACAAGAAAAGAATAGAAACTGTAATAAACGCAAAAGGTCGAGACACTAAATACTGAAAAAATGGTATTATAGTTCACAGGCCTCTGTCTAATTTTCTGTTAAATATTTGTCTTCTGCTTTTTTCTGACACAGGAAAATGAGCAAATTATAATGGCAGTTTTGACAGAAAATGAAATAAATTACATGTGGTCTGTGACTTTTGCACAGTACTGTATATGATGCTGAATCCCAGTCTATTATAAAGAGTATGCTTGCATGCTTGAAAAATCAGCTAATATGAATAGTGCTATTGTTTAAGTTAGTGATCCTCATCTTGTGCCTTTATTTTCTTTCTCTTGTTTAGTGTTCCTTCTTTGCTTAATACAACACACACAACTCCAGCTTAATATGAATCACTGGTTCAAATCAGTAATGGGGAAGCCATTCATAGGGGTTTGATGTGAAATGGTTCATGGTAGAGAAACTTTGACTCTTTGTGAAACAGATTTCTTTTTAATGTGTTCCCAACACCTACAATGCAGATAAAGACATACTATTTACTATCCAAAACCACCAGCCAAGATTAAGCGCTATGTTGTATCTGTGTGTGTGTGTGTGTGTGTGTGTGTGTGTGTGAGCATGCATGTAGGTGGGTTGTTGTGTATGTGTTTTTACAGAAATGCACAAAAGAGAATTACGTTTTACTACTCAGTATTCGCACATATTATGGGATGGTTTCATGATAGATTTAAAAGCAAAATAAGAAAATGAGTAGCATAAGCGTCTTTATTTGAAGGCAAAGTACCACAAACTCAAAAGCTGATTTAGATGTGATTTTCTCAGAAGTGTTTGATTAAAAGGAGAGAGACAGAAAAGGAGAAGGTGTATAATGTTTCTTTTAATTAGAGGCTTTTTCATGTGGCTCTAAGATGCAAGCATGTTCATTCTTTTGACAGACGGGGGGTTGGGGGGCATAGGGGCTACATGATGCAGGTTAAAACACTGTAAACAAATTATTTAATGTTCTAACTTTCAAAAATAAGGAACCTGGTTGGTTTTAAAATTGAATTCAAATATTCAAGTTATGTAAACTTGAAGTTCAATTGCTCTGTTAACTGACCACTAGATCTTCCATGAACCCAGAATTTTATTCCCCTTAAATGGCCAGGGCTCACTGGCAGGCCAAAAGTTATATTACACACTTCTATAACCTAAGAGTAGCTTTACCAGTTTGCACTGAAGTCCCTGTAGTAACTGAATAACAAGCTTTTTTAAGGTGTGGTTACTTTCTTTTCTGAAGGTAAGTCATTGAATCATATTTTAACAATGAAAGCAAAGGTTCAGCCTTAAATTGCTTTAAGAATCCTAAAAGCTGAAGGTTCTAAACAGGCTACACTGCTAAAATGTTAGTATACTGGTGTTATTATTTTATTTATTTTATAATGAACCTTTTTAAAAACTTTGGTGTTTTATATGTCCATTTTTTGCCAATGTATGTAAAATTTCTCCCATCAATAATTGTTTCTGTATGTATGAAAGTGCAGTATGGGTAGTTAAGGAGTGATTTTAATTCAATATGAATCTGCAGTGTGTGTATTTTTTATAGTCTGACAGTAATAATTGTGGAGTGATTTTAATCCAGTATGATTCCTGGAAAGGTCATTCAAGAAAACGGTAAACGCTGAGCACTTCCGCTATAAAGAGCCTTCCTCATCATACTTGGCCACACATGATACAGCTTACAGGTGCCACCTTTTGGTTTATTTTTCAAATTTGTAAATAGAACAGCATCAAAATCCTCATATTTGTTCTTTTGTTAAGATTTAAATTACAGTATCAGTATAAAACTATTAAAACATGATTTTCATCATATTACATTAGATTTCAGAAAGGTACAAAATGTAGAAATATATAAACACTTAAGTTATGCAGTAGTTTTAAGTTGCAGTGTTACACAGATATAACTCATATGCTGTATATTGTCACTATTGTAACAAAACCTCATCTCGCTGAAATGGTAACTTCTCAGGAGAAGGAAAAAACATTCTTAACTTTAATGTACATTAAAGTACTTTTGAATCATTTATATCAGTCCATTCATCATAAAATTCAACATGTACAGGACAGCTAGTGTTTCAAATGGGGAAAAAAAAAAGAAGGAAGCCTCCCATGGATTTGTCTGTAGGTACCCGTTAATCCAGAAAGAGACATCATTCTGTGTGACGGTGTTTGAGTGAATGTATGCGTGTGTTTCCCTTAGTGTGTATTGGTCCCATGTGGCCAGTCACCTGTGTCGAATAGGTGGGACACTACATAGTCCTGGTACTGCCCATCGATCAGTTTAGCGGCATTGTTTCTGGCAAACCAGCAGTCCACTATCTGAGTGCCAGAGTAGATGCGCCTGCTCTTCTTCACCACGGCAACGGTACGCTCCTTCACCTTCAGGGCCATGGGTCTGGGCTCTAGGTTGCCAGTAATGCTTGTTTCCTGTGTTTCATTTCCTTTTGCCGCAGTGATGTTTCCAGAAAGTTGTGTTAGTCCAACTTCTTCAAACAGAAACTGGCCTGAAAAGACACATGTACTCATTAGGGACACAGGAAAACTTTTCAGCTTTGGTTTTCGATTTCAGTTTTCAGCCCAATGTATCACAAATTTAGGCTTCAGTTTCAGCCAAGAATTTTCATGAGAGTTTAAGTGTGTGTATCCCTTCATATTTTAGGCCATGTGTATTCATTTAATGGGCTCATATTCCACATTACACTTGTATTGTTAATGTTCATCTGATTTTATGAATCAAAAACAGTTTTCTCAACCTCTCTTCAGCTCATAGAATTAAACAGGTTGTATGTTGTTACTGTGTCTTTAAGATTCATGTTTGTACATGACATTTACTAAGACTGCCTGCCCTGTATTGTGCCTTGTTGCAATCTGGGTTGAAAATGTGGAACAAACTGTTCAGTTCAGACTGTAAACCTTACAAACGTCAAACAAAAAAACTTTCCTGCTGTCAGATGAATGGATGGCCTTATGTAAATGCATGCATGGTTCTGACATCACAGACATGATCATTTCAGAACAAGCTCTTTTTGTGGCTTAGTTTTCATATCTAGATAGTATAGTTTGGGAAGTGGACTTTAACAATGTTACATATATCATCAAACTTATATCAAAAAAATCTTTCAACAATTCAGTAGTCCATACAGGCCCTTTAAAATGAAATGCTCATATCATTAATGAAGCAGAAATAAATTATCCAGCTTTAATCACCAAGGCGTGTTTATGTGTGTACTTACCTAACAGCCCGTGTGTAGTGTTGCTAAGTCCTTGGCTGTTTGCTATGTAGAAGCCCAGGTGGTCTCGCTGGTAAGGGGCAGGGTTTTTATAAGTATGCAGCAGGATGATGAACCGGATTGTCTTCTGAATGGTTACAGTGATGTTGGTGTCAGCAACAATGGCCACACCAAGACTTTCGCTTTCCACTGAGATGCTGGAGCTGCAGGGAAGGATCATGCGGTCACGGCCGTCCAGGATAACCTTACGCGGGGTCACCTCAATGTACGAGCGCCGGGGTTTATCCACAACTACAATAATGGAGCTGAAATATGTGCGCTGCTGTTTGTGGCTACCAGCTGGGGCTGGAGCTCCAATCAGCTTACCATTTACGGTCACACCTTAAGAAACACACACACACAGTCAATACAGGAGGAATACAATTCAGCTATAGGAACTACATTCCATGACCTGAATTCTCTAGTTTCTAGTATTGTCTAATAGACAATATGTATTATGTCAGATCTGTAGAGAACTGTAATAGTGTATCTGCACTGAAATAAAGCAGTGTGTTGAATTTACTTGATTCAAGTAAAATTTCCTCATAAATTAAATATATTACATGGATTCAATTACTGCCAAGAGTAGGTGAAGTGAAAGACAAAATCTTGGTGATGAAGGTGGTCCAAACTTTTATTGAAGTGAAAAGTAAATTCAATGAACATTTTTTTTGAGAGTGGTGTTTAAGGTTATATGGTGTTAGTGTGTAGCACATTCAAGCAGGCGGTGCTCTTGGAATACATTAACATCAGAAACATTAATATTAGCATGTATAACATTACCGTCCCATATAACTAGTTCAGAAGTTAAACAATTATTATTATTATATAGTTAATAAACTATTATTATTATTTATAAATTCTTTTATCTTAAAGCATTTTGTTCAGAACTCCTATGAACTATTCAGTATGTCCAACAAATTATTCAGTCTCTACTATGAATTTTTCAGAAATACTATTAATAATTCAGTATCTACTATGAATTTTTCAGTAACTATTGTAAATTATTTAGCAACTATTAAGAATTATTCAGAAGCTACTATGAATTACTTACTATTAAGTAATTACTATTACTAACTACTATAAATAATGCAATAACTGCTATAAATTATTCAGTAACTCCTATCAATCATCACATATTACGAATTATTCATTACTTACTGAATAATTCAGTAAATACTACTAAATTGCAATGTACACCATGAGTGAAAAAATGAAAAGCCTGGACCCACCAGTGTGAACATTTTAAGGGGTTAAAGGTCTTTTCTGTGCATGTTTATTAATCTATAAATAGTACATGTTGTTTACCAGACTGTTTGTGGTCAGTCACTAGCCGAAGGACGTCTCCAGCCTGTCCGTTGATGTTAAAACACACGGTCAGTTTGCTGAGAGGGAAATCCACCACAAAGTGAGGATCTCCATCCGCTACAGGCACACAGACATAAAACTATTAGAATATTAAACACAAAAAAATAAACAAATAAGCAATATATAATGTGATATTTTTCTCATGTGTTTCACAGCAAACTGCACTGTATTATCTGACACCATGAAAAAAAATGAATATTACTATGTACATATGCATAGTTGTTTCACATGCATCAGGTACAAATAGGATGATCCCTGTAACTATATTTATTCTGGGAAATCATGACAGACATGAAGCTACTTGTGAGTAGTCAGGCTACACTTCACCCGCACTGTGAGTCAATTGCTTAAAGTGAGGCCTTTTCTCTTAATCTATGAGCCAGCAGTCCTCTCCTTTTATATCTGATGCCAAATGATCTCTAAGAGATCGAGGCATGGTGGTGTATGGTTCTGCTTGGATAGTGCTGCATGGTCACACGGCAGATCAACAGAGAGGAGTGCAGGTCAGGACTCTGTGGCTTTGTTCACAGAAAACCCTTTCATTCCTTTAGTGTAGTAATCTCTGAGATGCCATCTCCAATTACCACTTAAACGGTGCTCTTTTCTAGAAAAGACCTTTTCTTTGGACTCATAATAACTAGCACAAAGCTTCACACACATTCACACGTTTTTATACCTTGTCAGGACATAGTGTCATATATATGTGCCAAATGTATTTTAAATGTTGAAGTATTCACATGCGATAATATGTTCCATATGTATTATATATGTATGTATGTATATTATATATGTAAGCCTCTATATGTAATAGTAATATGTCCCATATCTATATATGTATGAACAAAACCTTGTTTCTCCAAAAAACTTACAGGACAAGGAAAAAAAGGAGAAGGAATGTAAGTAAACGTAACGCTTTTATCTTTTATTCTACATTTTTTGCATCATTTCTATTGGTCATGAAATTTTGATACTGTGTAAAAGGCAGCTGGCATTTTTAAATTATATAAAAAACCAAAAACAACAAAAATGGAGATGCAAAATTATGTAAAAAAATGTAAAAAGTGGAGATAAGGTTTTGTCCCGACAGCAACGATATGGAGGTATACACATGTAATGGGTATTTTCTAAGCCTAACTCTAAACAGCTCAGGAGGCAAAAATAAATGGTTTTGTTCTTTTGATTTAAAAATGAAAGGTCTAGCTTTTTCTCTGGTTTTACTAAGTGCGTTCCTCAACACACCTCACACTCAAGCTCACATACACGCCCCCCTAATCTCTCAGGCTTTTCTCACCCTCTACTGCACTGTCTCAATTAGAGCCTGCAGTCAGCACTTGGTAGTACTTAACTTCGCTCTGATGAGGCCCCTCTACTCACATGAGCTAAATTACAAGCTGTTTAGACAGTGACTGCTTCTGTTCTACTGCTCTGGTCTTTCTGTCGCCTCACTAGTTACACACAAATACTGAGATGACACGTATTGTACCAACAGATGTTTCAGATGATCCACAAAGGCGAGGAATTACCGGATGTTTTGGAGAGGGTGACAGACTTTTTGGCGGTCTTTTTAACTCCATCTGTAGACAAAACACAAGGGTCACAGTGGTCAGCTTCAAATGAGTTACAGAGGCTGTTTAGAGGAGACATATTTTACTTTTATCTTAGTTTGTCTTTGTTGTGCTTTTTTTTTTTTATTATTTTTCGTGAGGGCAACTTTTAATGTTTCTGTAATCACACATGCCAAAAACATATATATATCTCATATACATGTTTTGTTTTTCACATTACCATTTTCCAGCCTCTCTTTATCCCTTAGAATTAAACAGGCTGTTTCTGTCACTGTGTTCTTAAGACTGATATATGACCTCTATCCTGATCTCCTGTCATGGATTATGTCTCGTTCAAAAGGTACGGAAAAACCTGTACAGAGCAAACTGTTATGTCTAGATCCTTTGAATGGGTTTGGCTAAATTGATATTGGCCGAATGGGTAGTCATATGGAAACATGCACAATCATAATGCATAATCAGGACTGAAGATAACTCGCCCATTTGGTACAGATCAACATCTACAATAAAAACTGACTTTTTCTTAATATCTTGATGTGGAAGCCTTGGCCAGCATTGACTGCTCATACATATTATGCTGACGAAATGTCAACAAGATCACCGCGGGACACTTTTTCCAGGTTGTGTGAATACTATCTATACTTATTAACACCATTTTTAATGAGTTTAATGTTAGCTTAGCGAGAAGGCTAACCCACCAGCAATTCCAGCTCATTGATGCTGCACTGAGGCAAGTTTAGAGGATAAATACTCAAATCTGAGCAAGTGTAATCAAGTGACTGGTGCTGGAGTGATAGAAAGGTACAATCTTTCTGATGATTAAAGTTACAGTTGGAGCTTTGTTTCTGCTCTGTCTCAACTGTTCAGTCTGTAAAGATAATCATTTTTTGATTATCATTCAAAATAAGTGTTCAGTATTAGATATTAGATTAAAATATCATAGACCTATTTAAACTTTTGCTTTTTTCAGGCTGAAAATTTCTCTTTGAAGACAAAGTGGCACTTTCGTCTAACTTCAGTGGCCAAAATTTCGGTGCATTCCTACCCAACATGGTGAACAACAACTTCTCACTTTTTGCTATGCTAGCTGCTGGTCTCCGTGCTGGCTGCTCCTGCAGACTCTGGGGTGTGTTTCCAGTTGACTCCTGATCTGGCAGCTGATTGGCTGCTTCTGAATCAGTGGACATTGGTGCTTCTGTAGGCTCAGCCTCTGCTAAAGTGCCATTGGCTAACACCTGTGGCGTTTCCACTACCATCTGTGTGAGCGGTGTTAGGAAGTTGTACTCTAGCGAGAGATTGGCGGCTTGCTGCGTGAATTTCTCTCTCTCGCTGCTCGTCTGGCTCCGCAGTCGCCCCTTCAGGCCATCCTTCACGCTCAGGAAACCCCACAGACGCTCAACGTATCCATCTGCGTCCGGCCCTGCCTCGGCCTCTGTCAGCCGCTGCTTTGTCTCTTGCTCGCGTTGAGTTAGCAACACATCCTTCTCTAGCCGCAGACTACGGTCGCTGTTGCTAGCCGTCACCTGAATGTGGAGAGAGTCTGAGCTGTGATTGGTCAGCTTGCCAGCCACCACGATTTCAGAGCCATTGAAGTAGTTGGGAAAAAAGTGCTGTGTGACATATTCAACAGCGTCTTCTGAGTAATCCACACGGATGTCTGACAGAAGAGGAGTGCCGATCTCATCATAGAAGCTGCAAAGAAAAAGTGGCAGAAAAGATTAATTATCAGCCAAAATATGTTTATTATCTAAAGTTCTTAAAAAAGGACAAAATTCAGGATCCAAATGGCTGCAGCTACTGTTTTTAGTTACATTATGTGCTCATCTCATGTTAGAGATAACAGTATGTCATACAGTGTTAGAAACCACCTGCAAGTCTAGTTCTTACTAGCACGACTCAGACATGTATTGGCTGAGACTATGTAATGTAAACCATTTGTTTGGATGAGTGTATTTTATTTTTTCCCCTAGGGTCCACTTACGCCATTTTAGTGTGTTATTATAATTTTCCAAGTAAAATCACTTGTTCTCTTTGAATAAGCTTTCAATGTGCTCATAATCATCAGACTCATCTGCATGGGGAAGAAGTCTGAACTGGCACTGCAAATATTTTTCTTCACACATTGTACTATTACACATTTTCATCAGAGAGGTCTCCAAATCCCCAAAATATACATAGTGTAGCTTTAAATATGCAATTTTCTGCAATTTTTGTGCACAACTTATATTTATTTGCTGAGTAAAGTAAATAAAGTAATAAAGTAATTCTGCATTAACACCTTCACATTTTTAATGTCTGTTGAGGACGTGTTCACTTTTTTTCACCTAGAAAATGAACAAAACATCTTGCGAAATCTGAGACATTTGCCAATAAAGTTCAAATCTCTATTCCTGATGTCTGTTTTGACTGTTTTTTCATCGCTTTCATGGTGTGAAGCAGCAATGTAGCTTGCTGGATATGTCAGGTGACTCACTTGTACCACAGCTAACATCAATTCACATAGAGATTCTCAAGCCTGAACCCTTTGACCCTCAGAGTGAACCTTTGTTATGAAACCCCATGAACAGGATTTGGACCAATCCTGTGACTTTTTTTGCTTGACCTTTGACCTTGAGTTATGCAGCAGTTCAGTTTGGGCTCGTAGGTAAACAATAGGACACACTCTTCAAACATGATGCTAACATGACTGAAAAACAATTTGCTCAACTCTCTTTCTTTCCCTCCTTCTCCTTATCTCTTTCTCTCTCTCTCTCTCTCTCTCTCTCTCTCTCACACACACAGACGCAGACACATTGCTTAGATCTCGCAATGCAGTCACAGGGTGGGGAGCCCTCATAAGCAGCTCCAAAAGTTCATCATGCCTTTGTTAGTCACACAACGTTCAAAGCATCACTCAGGTTTCAGAAAAGCAGATCAGACACCTTTAAAAATGAAAGTGTTCTTTGAGAGTTCTTTAGGAAACAGATATATAAACTATGACAATCCAAGGATTAACCTGAATGCTTAAATTAGAAGTAACCAGACCTGGTTCTGGAGATCTACCACCCTGCAGGGTCATCACATAAGCTAATACACCTGATCCAGGTAATGAAGGCCTTTAGGAGCATCTGACAATTAGAGCCAGGTGTGTTAGATCTGAAAACTCCAGGACCAAGATTTAGCTTAAATGATTCATTGCATGGTTAAATAGTTCTACTTTGTGATGGAGAAACTGTTGTATATAGATATGAAAAACCTTAATACTTAAGTTTAGTATGGCACCAAAAAAGGGTTCCGCTATTCATACAAAACATAGATCTTTTTTTGGCCTTTTTTGATACTATATAGCTCACTTTTATGATTTTGTAATCTAGTCAAATCGAAACTGGAAGCTGTCATGTCTAAACTATTAGCATTTGGTCTCTTCAATGAAAGGGTAATAAAAATATCACAGTTGAAATAAGCCGAATTACAAATTTAGACTTCCATTAGTCTAAATTTGACTATTTAAACCACAAGAAAGCAATCTGCAAGGCAGCTAAGGTGAGTTTGGGTAGTTGTTTGTGTGAATGTTAGTGCCTCTTTGAAAGAAAGACAAAGTCAGACACCTTTGGGAAGAGCTTTTGTTTTTGAGGACATAGCTCTCTGGCTTTAAAATTGGAAGGAAAGAAGTAAAGTGGATATCAGTATTAAATACTGATATATTCAAAGTTACTTTTTTTGTATTGGAGGCGTTTGCTTGATATGCTTGATTTTTGTCTGGTACTGAAAAATGAAGAACTTGTGCTTGTTTTAACTGGAAACTATACTGTGCTACCATACAAAAGTTTGGAATCACCATTCAAAAGTGGGGAATCAATTGTTTTCTACACATGATTCCAAACTTTGAATCATAGTGTACATGGATATATACATACATATAGACACACACCCCTTCCTCACCCTTTCAGCATGGCACTAGCATCCGCCTCCTCTGGAATTCTCCTCATGGTGCCACAGTTCTCCAGAGCCATTCGCTCCAGAAGCCTGTAGTCCACATCGTTACCCATGCCTATGGTAAAAATGCAGAATTTCTCTTGCACTGCAGTTTTGGTTTTGCCGAGGATGCTGGGGGTCTGCAGCTCGCCCACCGTGGGCCGACCGTCAGTCAGGAAGATGATGAGGGACACACTGTTGTGACTGGACTCTGGACGTGTCGACAGGTAGTCACGCAGCAATGAGGAGCCAGTCTGGATGGCATTGTTAATGTCTGTGCCTGGGAGCGGCGGACAGAGAAAGAGCAATAAACAGAGAGTAAAAGGTAAAATGACAGAAACTGGGTTAATGGTAACCTCTGAATTATTATGAGGAAAAAAGTCTCAATTTACAAAATGCCCAACAACCCCAAATATAGTCAAATAATAAAACATGTTTTGGCTGATTGATCACAGGGAAAATGAGGTACATCGGATTTTATGTTGAACTTTTCTAATGGAAGTTTATAGTGCTAACTACACACCTAATCCTAAATAGTTTCGCTTATGTGGTTTCTGATACTGTATGACACATGTCTATAAACATGGACAGACAAAATTCTGCTACTGTTTTCGGAACAGTATGTTTTAACAGTAAGTCATTCAGTGTTAGGAACCACATAAGCCAAAAGTATTTGTCCAAACTGCTCATGTTGGGTTCGGTCCAGACGTCATTTCTGAAATATGTGTCGGGCTCAGATCAGGTTCACATTTCACATTCAGGTTCTCACACTCTCCCTCTGACAGATTTTACCCTGAATCTACTCGGTTTTGGCCAATTTGGCACGCTGGATGTTGACAGAATTTAGCACTAAAGTCTATGCATGTGAGAAGATGGATGCAAGGTAAATAAAACGCAAATCAATTCATGATTGTACGGTTTAGGACAGCCAGAAGGATGTTTATATAAATTTGTTTGAACAGGAATACATTTTCATGTTATATGTAATACGTTCTATGTACAGAAAGAGTGTTAGGACTAAAGAAGTGAAGGCTAACATCCTGCTATATCAGCAGTGCACAGCGAGAAAACAGTGCAGTATGGACAGCTTATCCAGGCTAAAAACATTTAGGATGCTGTTCCAAAGCACTGCTTGATGAATGAAGCTGAATTAAAACTTAATTTTAGACAGCTTTAGATTGTTTTATTATATCACTATCTTGTATATTTTATTTTGTTTTTCTGTGATCTAATGATGGCTATTATTTTTGCTAAACAGCACAGAATTCTGAGGGGTTCGGTCAGGTTCGGACTGAAAAGTTGATGTGGTTTGGGTCGGGTCAGATTAGGATTGAAAACTTGATGATGCGGTTCCAGTTGGGTCAGGTTGAACTTGGGCAGGAAGTTCTTGGACTGTATTCAGATTTGGACCAAAATTTTGGGCCCAAATAATGCTCCAAAGCAAATCTATTGAGATTAATTAGGCTTAACTTCACACAGTTTAAGGCAGGTGCTTGATGATCTAGACATGCAGTTTGCATAACTGACGACAATAAACTTCCATCACTTGTTAGTCACATTAGTATCGTAACTCCAGTGCAAAAGTGAAGAAGCAAACTTAAGAGACCAACACCAACATTTCTTGGCTAACTGACTACATTTGGGAAAAAAAATTCAATTTAGGATTTGTGCTGAACTTTTCCTGTAATCATATTCACATTAATGTCTCTAAGGTGCGCAAAATGTTTTGTTATTTTCCAAGACACTATTATCTGAAGTGAACAGACCTGTGCCGTGCAGTGTTTGCATTTCTCTTTATGCACATGTATGATTCTGTAATAGATCTAAATGTTGGTATTTTGGTAGGTGTGGCAGAGAGAAAGAGAGAGAGGGAGAGTGTAAGGTGTGGTACCTCCGGTGGGTGAGATCATGTAGATGAACTTCTTGGCATCCCGCACGCTATTGGGTGTGACGGACACCAGCTGGCCAGGCTGCCAGACTCGTATGCGGTTGGAGAAAGTTACAAAGTTGAACCGATCATTTGGACGCAAGTCCCTCAGAATGGTGAATAGAGCATCTTTAGTCTACCAGAGTGAAAAAGGGGTGAATAACAAAAGGAATTACTGAAATGATAATAAATCAAACAATGTCCTTAAAGTCAACATGGATCATGTATCTATACCCCTAATTCCAATGAAATGTAATATCAAGCAGGGTCTCAGAGCTGGCTGAGTATTTTCTCTCAATGATAGGTGGGTGTGGTGGGGGGAGGTGAAATGATATTATACCGGTCAATTATTTTTTTAGGGAAAAAAACATTACATTTCAATGCAAGATTACAGGAAAACAAGAATTTTGTCTTTTAAATACTGTGATATAAATTATTCTTAATATGAGAAGGTACACAAACTAGCAAAATAAAAAAGGTCAATTTTGATTTCAGGGTGACTTTAATTCTCATTCTTTTTACATAGCCTCTGATTGGCTTGTAACATTACTCACTGGTTTACAGTTAATCGGAATACCTCTGTTAAATGATTGGACTCACTTTGCTTGTTTTATCCATTAAGCTTTATGATATATTCATTAGTCATTTCTTTATTCAATATTCTCATAACTCTTATTGCTTTTGTTATATTATTGTTTGCTATCTGACGTGGACTAGAGGAGGATGGGTTCCACTAAGTTATAAGGCGCGTTTCAATTCTCTTGTTAATTTACCATTGCCTACTTTGACTCATCACTCGGATTTGTGTCACTTCTATGTTACCAAAGTGGCCACCCAGCACAGAAGGGGAAGCAGCAACAGCAAGGAGTGGATAATACATGCGGAACTAACTCACCCTCAGAAAGTTAGTCTCAGTGAGCTAAAAGGCTAGCCATGTAAATCAATTCTAAGAAGTTTGAGCATAAAGTACATAACATGAAAATAATGTCTTTGCATGGCTATAAACTTGGAGCAGAACTGTGCTGTAGTGCCTTTCTTTTTGTTCTTGTTAGCCATGTAGCCTTTAGCATGCTAACGAGCCAGGTAGCAGAGGAAAGTGATGAAGTTGTATCAGCAGTCATGGAAAACAGATGGAGTAGTTTGTAACCTAAAGCCCAGCAAATCAAATGTTATGGTTTATTTTCGCCATTATTTTCGGGTTTGAAAAGGGAAATTCGTCAGGTTGCAATGATTTCTGGCAAGTTCTGCAGCTGAAGTCGACAATGGTGTTTGCTCGAATCCTCAACCCTCCAACGGCTTGTCTAATTGAGCTAATAAAGAAATAGAACAGCCCTTAAGATGCAACTGTGGATTCCCCCATGGGAAAATGTCCAAAAGGACAAGGGCTTCTTAAAACCGATGTTGAACAGGGAGGTTGGTTCCTCTCAAATTTTCTCTCTCTTGCTTTTAGAGAGTTTTTCCTTGTTTCTGTTGCCTTTGGCTTGCTCACTAGGCACCTGAACCCAGATTTCTGTAAAGAGCTCAAGTGACAAGGCTCATTGTAAAAAGTGCCATATAAATAAAATAAATGTGAATTGAATTGAAACACATTAGCTAAATAGGTTGCTAGCTTTAGCTTAGTTAAGCGTAAGGGAATAGTTTTCTACACAATTTTCTTTCAAAATGTAGTCAATCAGTTAAGACATATTTGGTCTAGGCCGTGACCACATTTGAGGTAAAGGTGAAAACCTGCAAATTAGATTGTTTTGCTAGAGGTTTCCACAAAGCAACTGTAGCAGGAAAAAGAAAGAAGAAATACAGAGACACACACATATACACAGATACACTGACTAATAATGACTGCATTCCTGAACTGCTGCATCAGTAAAGGACAAGCCATGACAGACTATGGGTTCATTAAAAGGTGCTGATGTGCTCATTACTGCATCTCAAAAGCACCAGTTCAGAGTGTGAGTGTATAATAGTCATGTTTGTGTTACCTGTCTGATTTTGGTCCCGACCATAGAGGCACTGGTGTCAATCACAAACACAACATTCTTGGGTACAACAGGCAGGTCTTTGGGGGCAAAATAATGCACGAAATGTCCATCCAGAACCTGGGGAACCAGGGGCAGTTAGTGACCTTTCAACATATTTCTGTGTGTGTGGGTGTGTGTGTGTGTGTGTGTGTGTGTGTATGTGTGTGTGAGTGAGCTCAGAGTGATGCAGTACAGCTGTGGGTGGAAAAGTGTTTGGGGAATAAAGTACGTGAACTAATCAGTTCCTGAGGAGAAAAGAGAGGTAATTACATTTAGTGTGGCTTGTTATATGAATATAAAAGGTAGTTCCTGTGAAAAAAAAGTGAAAATATGGTTGGATTTTGTCATTATATTACAAAATCTGAAGAACGTTTTTCATAATATAAAACCCATTTTGTTGCAGATACATTTTTAAAATGAGTCTAATATGATGCTAGTGCTTATCTTCATAGGTCTTAAATAATTTAGTGGGAAGCTGTAAAAAGTTAAGAAATGTTAAACAAAATGATGAACAGAGCTGTAGATGATTCTAAAATGACTGAGAAAGCTGTAAAACACAGACAGTCAAGTTATAATAAAATTTCTATCCAGTATGCCTCATTTTGAAACATGATAATCAAATCCTGAGGCAGAAAACTTATTATTAACATTAAAGAACTACAGTATATTTAATAACTTCTTAGTGTTGCCCAAACCTAGAAATATTGAAAAAAAGGAATCCTAAATACCTTCCAGATTATAGTATTTCAATCTACACTGTAAAAGGTAAAATTAGGTAAAATAACAGCAATTATTAATATGACTAGTTACTCCAAACTTTTGAACGCTAATATCTCTTAATGTCTTCCTAGTTTATCTTATTCCAGCAAAGTATTTTTGAATCTCATGATTTGTTTTTCAATTTAGTTCATTTTTAATTTTTGGACTTCTTTTTTTAAACTCTGATTACTTGACTAATCATTAAAGTAATACGTAGATTCCTCAAATACTAATAAAATCTGTCATGATAGTCCTAATCTTCACATTACATTTTTATACAGTGAGAAGTCATTTCATTTATTACTACCTCTTCCTTGTCAAAACTGTCATTGGTTGATGTGTTAACACATTCACTGTAATTCCCTACAGAATGCACTGATATGCTGTATATCATATGTAAAGACACATTACATGCCAAGATACTATTACAGACTGTGTCCTTAGAAACAGAGTGGATGCATGAAAGTACATGTTCTCTACAGGCCAAATAAAATGGTCCTAACTTTGTCAGTGTTATATTTGTGTAAAACTGAAAGAGCCATTTCTTTTACGCTGCTTAGGGTTAGGTTTATGATTAGACTTAGCTACATAACACACCATTCTACCAAATTAGTTCCAACTGCGGCCCCACAGTAAAAAATCAATGAAAAACTATTTAAGTATTCAGAGCTTAGATATGTGCAAGGATTTTATTATGATCTATTTAAACACAAGGCATTAACTGAGATAGTAATACGCTACTAAATATATATATATATATATATATAAATATATATATATATATATATATATATATATATATATATATATATATATATATATGTGTGTATCTGTACCTGAATGTCCCCAATCCCTATTTCTCTGTCCACATCATAGCGAACCACGAAATCTCCCAGCATTCCATTGTTGGCGATTTTGACCTGCTGAACAATGTTGGGGGTGAAGGTGATCTTGCAGAAAGTTTTGTTCTGTCTGATCACCGTGGAAACAGGCATAGACTCTTTACCTAAGGGAACATACAGACTGTAAATTCGTGTGTGTATGTGTGCATTTGGTTAATATTTCAGTTCTGCTGTACTGTGTAAGGTCAAAGCACGCATGAATACACAGAGTAAAGTACTGCATTGAAGTGACTTGATTTCAATATGTGCATCATTTTCACTTGAATGAAATATATTACATCACCACAATTTTTTTTTTCAGTTTACTTACTTTTGGCAGTAATTGTGTTGATGTAATATGTTTTGTTCACGTGGAAATTATGAACATATTCAAATTAAGTAAATTTAGTGCATTAAGTAAGTTTGAGGCTAGAAGAGAGAGAGAGAGAGAGAGCATATCCTGAAACTGTTGTATGGGTGTGGACCATCCCTGAGGAGAAGTTTCTGGTATGAGGTTCGCATTAGAGCATAGTGTGGCTTTTTGTCAGGCAAATGATTGCTATGGCAGACCAGTTGGAATTATGTGCTGGATCAAACTAACACATTGCAACACATAGTAACGTAAAACAGCAGAGGAAGCTTCAGACAGCTGCACCGCTCTGTTCTGTCTTTTGTTGTGGGCTAAAGAGGACAGAGTGGTTATTAAAGGCAGTAACTGCTGGGGCAGTTGTGAAATACCAGTTTAGAGCTTGACCTCTTGTAGATCCTCCATGATGTAAATGACTTTTTAAGGAATACACCAGATTTTTCAACATAATCTCTATGATGTCCCACACCTGAAGCATATGGCTGATTATCATGAACAGCAGTGTAATTGGGCATATATACATATATATGCTGTATACTGACTTTGTATACCATACACTTTCCATATATGGACTCCTAAAGATGCATTCTTGTGTGTACACTTACCTTTTTTATTCCAAAACCATATTCTAAGACACCTCACAAGTCAGGGTGACCAGTGTAATCGTTAAATCCATGATTAATAAACAATTTTGATGGCTCATCAAAATTGGATTTTGGTTCATTTTCATCAGTTTGTACGGATACCACCACAGGACACCACCTTGTTTGAGTATCCTGCAGTCAGTCATAGACATGCCAGTATGATTAGAGATAAAAACAGACACAATGTGATTTTTAAACTCCTCTGAATGTTGATTCTAATAAATATTAATGCCGGGCTACTCTTGCATACTAGTGCCACAACACCTTAACTAAGTTTGGATAAGGTTTACAAATGTCAGCTCTGTGAAATTAGCAGCATTGCAGCAGCTAAGCAGTCTATTAGCAATTTTATAAAAGACAGATTATGGCTTTAAAATAAGGTCAACAGCTTTCATAAATGTTTATAAAGAACAGAATAGAAAAACAGAATAAAGGCCAATCAGAACAAGCTTCAGCAACTGCCCATTGGCTTTGATTAGAAGTCAGTACAGACACCAAAGAGTCCATCAGAGGTAAGTACAGAGTCTGTGCTTTTCAGAGTACAGGAAAACCTATCAAAATTATAATCTGTGATAATCGACCACATACTACAGATACAGCAGATAGAGATTACTTTAAAAATGCTGGAGTATTCCTTTAAAATGCTTCTTGCAGTGCGATATGTGTATATTTACTTACATGTATAATTATTTCTCATTTGTAGCTTCTAGAAAAAAGGTGAAATTTGGCTGAAAGTGTGAATTCTAAACTTCCATTAGTGTTTAAGTAGAAGAGGAGACATTTTATTATGATCTGAATTTGAACAACAGCTGCCCTTTACATTGTGTAAACATTTCATGATGAATTACCAACAGAAACTGTCAGAAAATTACTTGGAATAAAAAAAAAAATCCTTATATTTACTTAAATAAGATTTTGTTGTGGCAGCGACAATATAAATAATTCTGTAAAGTAAACTGAATGCATAGCAAAAACACAATAATATATCTAACTTTAATGGTTAAAGATATTGATGTACCGTCAGTCTTGCTCCTGCTGCTGGAGGCCGACGTTCTGCTGTTACGTAAAGGAAGCACCTCGAGGTATTTGATGCGCGAATGCTCCACTATGGTAACCCCAACACTGAGCTTGCTAACCAACTGCATGGGCCGGACGCTGGTCACATGTTCATAGTAACCCAACCGTCTCTGCAGCAGCTCCTCATAGGTCAGCAGGAAAATGGCACGGTTCCGCCCTGGGATGGTGACGGCCATGCGGAACAACTCCATCTCACCATCACTGAGAACAAAGAAAGGGAGTGAAAGAAGGACGGAGTGAAGAGAAACAGAGAGAGATCATTATCTGTCTGGAAACGGGATTGTTTCGTCCGATGATTCTGTCAGTATGCCCACTCTAGCTTGTTTAAATAGAGTTTACATTGTGGAGATGGAAAATGTGTCTAATATCTATCCTTTGTCCACTCTTGTCAATATGCCTCCTCTCTCATTCTCTCCCAATTAACAATTGTTTCCAAGGCTGACATTTCTGTGTAAAATGAATGTGGAAAACAAAATGAGAACAGAACTGCCACTGTTTTTGTATAGGTTAAAGCGATGACTTGGTAAAACATTTCATTTGCCCATTTTCTCCCCTTTGCTACTGGCTGAACTCAAGTCAACTCCATGGTAGACCCTGCCTATAAAGAAGATAACATAAAGAAGGAGCAGCTAGCGGAATTAGCCCACCTACTTTTGGTCATATTTACATTGACACTTTGCCCATTGTACAGCCCATAAGTAATTCAGATGATAACATAGTTCCAAATTTTCTTCATAACACACTTGCTATTTTATTACACTGGTTAAGTATACTTGCTATTGCTTAGCCAGACAACTCTTCTGAGGCAAGTATATAAGGATTTAGGCATGCAGTTTGCACAACACTAACATGGCAGGTTATAACCTGTTATTACTTGTTAGTGTTACTGTTAGCTGCTATTATAAGTTAGCGTTACTTGTTAGCCTCCTCCTCTTGTTAGCTTGTTATTACATTAGCCTCGTAGCTCCAGTGCAAAACTGAAGCGAACTTCAAACATGCCTTGGCTGATTAAGTAAAACAAAATCTCTCAACTCACACTTTAAATAAGCAGTGAATAAGTTGGATAACTGTTATGTTATCCACTAACTTTGATTCTATGCCAAACTGTTCCATTGACCTGTGTAAAGGCCTTCACTGCTGAAAAACGAAAACACCACAGACTGGCATGATTCTATGCTAGTGTAAGATGGTTAATGCTGGTCCAGTGCTGGTCTGGTCCAGGTTTAGCTGGTCACCCAGCATGGTCATGCTGGCACACCAGTGTACAAGCATCCAAAACACAACATATGATTCTCTTTGCTGGTGAGCAGCCATGCTGTTCTTTGCTGTTCAGCAGGGTTGGGGAATGATTGCTTTAAGGCCAATATGTCATATGCCCGCAGGCCAAGTCAGGCCCGTGACGCAGTCCTATTCGGCCATCAGAATTATTGTAATTTTCTATCCTTATTAGCCCGTTTCACCCTGAGATGTACTACAGTCCCCAGCATGCACTGCAACGTAGTGTGTGTTACGACCCCCTGTCACGCATTCGGCAACCAACAAACTACAATTCCCAGAATACACAGGGCAGTCGCTTGCTAGTAATGACTCGGACTTCACTTCCCAGAATCCTCCGCATACTCACGTGACTCCGGAAAGATCATCAGTGGCCTATCACCGCTCAAGTTTGCCTTAGTATTAATGATGTTCACCTGTAGGGTTTATGTCATATGACTTACCTAGCTAGTATACTAGCCTGGGCTATAGTTAGGTTCGTTGCGAGGTATTGCTTTCCTTTGTGAAACTACTGAGCATTCTTCTTGTTGTGATTTATCGTGTATGACCTTCTGCTAACCCTTTTTCTCATTTGCCCTTCTGTACTGTTGCCTGGTTTCTTGGATTTTCAGTTTTGACTATTCGCATGTATTTTGGACTTTGCTCTGTTTTTTCCCCTTGTCGGTTATGGTCGCCTTGTGTATTCTACTGTTTACTTTGGAACTGACCCATGGCTGTTTTTTGACGATGTTATACTTGCCAGAATCCCCAAGTAAAACTTCATTTGTGTTTTATATCCGCGAGCGTCTGCTTACTGGTCAAACTTTAATTGATGTGGTCAAACAATTTATGGCTCAGCGGTTGCACAAAAAGAAAAGATGTCTGGTGTCTAGTTCAAGCAAATAGGCAGTTGAAAAAGAAATACCTAAAACAATTTGTTTTCATTTAGAATTACTTTGATTAAGTGTTCAGTGCCTATTTTGCTGTTGCAGTTCTGGCATATTTTGAATAAACAATGGCCCATCTGGGTCATGGCAAAATGTTAAGTAAAAATGAAATAAAAACACAGCTGGCCGACAGATTTGCTGAGATTTCTTAATATGGTCCTTTAAGTGGCTGAGTTTGACATGCCTGCTATAAGGCAAGCACATATTTAGCCTCAATACATGTAATTTGTAATATATGTGCACTACTTGTCTCCTTACCTGACCTCTGTTGACTCCTTGCTCTTTGGTTTGCCGTTGTTCTCCCCTTTGTCCTTTCTCACTTTCTTCTCTTTTGCTTTAATTTGACTGGGGAACACTCTTCCTCCCACAATCCTGTGTCACCAACATCAACACAAAGTGGTTTTCAAACTTTGATGTCATGAACGTTTGTTTTTCATAAACAAATTTTGCTACAACTAAATGGAGCCATATAGTGCTCCTCTGGCCAGTGTGTTTGTGTGTGTGTGTTTGTGAAGTTAATGTTAATCTAAACTCTCACAGGCCCTATGGTAACCTCTCTCATACAACAAATAAAACAGAATCCAAAATAGCTCAGTCAGTCATGGAAAATAACCCAAGTTGTGTTTGACCAATTTTACACTATGTTGGCACTTGACTAAAATAAAATATAGTTTTATATATATTTTGACTGATATGGTCTCACAATCTTACAGACAGACTGCTCTGTACTCTTTGAGGTGCAGCATTTTTCAACCCTGGTTCTGGAGACCACTGCCCTGCCCACTTTAGTGTTTGCCGTGTACTGCAACACACCTGATCCAAATAATCAGCTCATCATAACCTCTAAAATGTGCAGGGCAGTGCAGAGCCTCCAGGACCAGGGTTGGGAAACAATGGTTTATGGTTCTCTCTAGGGTAAACAATATTGGGAAAAAGCCACTGTGATATTTTAGGTTTTCGCAATAAAAACTGAGATACTTGGAAAACAGATGAACCAGATGAAATCCAAACCTCAGTTGCAAAAAAATTGGGACAGTATGTGAAATGCAAACAAGAATAGAAAGCAGCGATTAGTGAATTCTAAACTGAAACTGATGTGCTATGTCATAAATTCTAATAAAAGTTTGCCACAGTCTACCATTACCTTTACTTCTAACCCTTAATAATCTTTTAGACTGAAGACACCAATTGATCCAGTTTTGAAAGCATAATTTTTTGTCATTCCACCATCAGCTGCACAACCTTATGGGGCCTTCTTTGTTGTATTTTGTGCTTCATAGTGCACTACGATTTCAATGGTAGACTACTGGGATAGCGGTCTAGTACCTGTACTCTCTGATGATGCAGCCATGTTGTTGTTGCATGTGTTGTTTTTTTTTATTAGTATATATGGTTAATTGTGCCTTCACAGATGTGCAAGTTACTCATGTCAAAAGCACTAATAGTCTCCCATACCATGACAGACCCTGGCTTTTGAACTTTATGCAGATAACAATCTGGATTTACTTCTTTGGCCCAGAGAACACAGCACTCATTATTTCCATAAATAATCTGAAAGGTTGACTCCTCAGACCACAGTACATATCTCCACTATGCATCAGTCCATTTCAAACGAACTTAAGCTCAGAGAAGTTGGCAGCATTTCTGAATATTATTGACATAAGACTTCCGCTGTGCACAGTAGTTTTAACTTGTATTTGTTAGTGCAGCAACAAATGGTGTTCAGTGACAGTGTTTTGTCGAAGTATTCCTGTTCTGATGTCCTTCACAGAAACATGTCAGGTTTTAATGCAGTGTTGTCTGAAAGATTGAAGATCACAGTTGTGGTGTTCGGTTTCGCCTTTTTACACTCCTGAATCTTTTGTTAATATTATGTACCTTAAAGGGTGAAATACCTAAAATCCTTGAAATCGCTCTTTGAGAAACATTGTTCCTGCTTGATGCACTCTTGCTCATCTTTCCTGGATGCTGTTTTTATTCCCAAGCATGGTTGCATCACCTGTTTTACAATATTCCTACTGTTAAATTGCCCCGTCCTATTTTTTTATAATGTATTGCAGGCATTCATTTTAGAATGAGCGTATATTTACAAAAAGCAACTAAGTTAATAAGATAAAACATTAAATATCTTGTTGTTAAACTTTCTTTGTACTTTAAGTTTGGGTCAAAATTGATTTAGAAAGCACTGCTTTCTGTTTCTGATTTCACATTCTTTCACTTTTTGGAATTGAGGTTTGTACAACTGAGTGAAGAAACTGCCTGGAATTATATTAAACACACGCTGCTGAACCTCTGACAGCATAATTAAAGACAGTCTTGCATTACTTTGCCCAAATTTATTCACATATTTTGGATCGTGTGGATGCTTTATTCATCCAATCTTACATGGAACAACTGAGGTTGGTCAGAATGCTCACTGCAATATCCAGTGTTGCAATAATGATTAACAAATGATGTAGTTCTCCTCCAAATCACCAAGCTGCTCTACAGTGCTGCATAAGCCTCAGTGACTTGTGCCTTGTATCTCTAAAAAGTACAATGTACTGTAGTGTAACTGCAGGTTCCTCTGGCTTCCTCATGCTCTAAGAGAGGTTTTCGTGGTTCCTCCCAGTGGTTCTTCCCCATGCACTTAGGGAGATTTCCTTTTGAATCTTGGTTCCTCTCACTGGTTCTTCCACATGCTATAAGTGGGGTTCTGTTTTTAAGTATTGGTTCCTCTCAATGGTTCTTCTCAGTGCATTTTGAGATGCACTGTGGCACGGCATTAAAAGATAAACCAATAGTTTTTTTCTATGGCATCATTCTAGAGAACCCTTTTGGGCGCTTTAATTTAAAGAGTGTAGCAAATAAAGTTAAATTCAACTGAAGTGAACAGAACTGATGTTTTATAAGGGGCTTGTGTGGCCCCTCTTTGTTCTCTATTGCTGCTTCTCTCACATTATTCTATACCAACGACCAAAGTAAAGTTAAAGTAGTTGTAAATGAATAACATGATAGATGCTCTAGTTTCCTTGTGCTGGCTGTGTAATTCTTACTTACATGGTGAAGTTAGAGACGTAGGCGGCTGCTGGCACTTGGAATTGGAAAACCCCCTGAATGGCAGCGCTGTGCCTGTTGAACATTGTGCAGGACACAGCGGTAAAAGCATACCGAGAGATGATGGTGGTCTGCACTGAGTACTCCTGAATATGTGGTTTGGTTTCCTGAAAAAAGAGAAATTGTGGTTTTATATAGAAAGAAAGATTAATTACAAGTACTGATCATTATGTTACTCGAATTAGGGGTCGACCGATACGTGTTTTACAAGGCAGATATTGTTATCAATTATCAGTAGACAATGAGATCAGTAACTGATATATAGTTGTATGCAAAACGTTGAGCTCCCCTGGTCAAATTATGTGTTTTGTTTATTTTTTAAGTGAAAATAAGTGAACAAATCCTCTACAGAGAATACACTTCTGCATATTATGCACAAATATTGCGTATATGCTGAATTTAACATATTGGATAATAAGTCACATCGACTTTGAATAATAAACCACATCAAACAACTGAAACACAGTCTGCTAAAAATTGCAGGTCTTGGTTCACTTCCAAGTGAGCCCTAGTTCAGTTCGCTGCTGATGGAAACACATCTCTCAGGGTCTGCACCGAACGAGGGAATTCAACATCACAGCATGCTTTTCTGCTTCATCCGTGCTGTTTGCATAATCTGCCTGATCAATGTCTGACTCTTGATAGACTCTTTTTATTCTTGCAGCATGAGCTGCTGCTAATAATGGCAAACAAGCAATAAAATAATAGCGAAGCAATGCTTTTAAATTTGGCACAAGGGTCATGGAATGTATTGCATCCATGACCTGATTGGTTACATTCAAAAAACCTGTCATGAAGAAGCTTATATCAAGATTATTATTAATGACTGTGATACACAAAGACGTTTAACTTCTCTATTTTCATGAAAAGTAGTTGGTTTTTTGGGCTCGGTTGGAGGCAAATGTGAGTAACAGAGCACTTGTATCCCTGCAAAATTTCTGAACAATAAACAAAAACCCACTTTGTATAATTTGGTGCACTTCAGCCTCTGCAGTGTGAAGCCAACTGAACCAAATGAAAAGATTCAATGTCACAAAAACCCAAACTCTGTTTCAGACTTTAGCAAACAAGCAAAACAACAAATGAAACAGCCACTGTATTTTAGACTGAGAAAACCAAGGATAAACTGAAACAAAGAAAAGCTCTGTGCTAAACACTCAGAGGTAATATGCACTAAACCTACTGAACTGAGCCAGACCTCCTTTCTCAACTCATTTCATCTAGCCCTTGATAGCTGCTGAACAACATCAGCTAACTCTTTAGGTGAGATAGAAAATGTTCTGTTATCTTTTACTGTTTATTGTGTTGCATTATATTATAAAATAAAGCAAAACTGACAGGCTACATTGATTATTGTATTATATTTGTTTGCACTTATAATGATTTGGTTAGTATAATCCTGTAGGCCACAGAAGCTTCTGTGGTTGTTTGTGTGGGTCACGAGTTAGAAAAAGTTGGGAACCTCTGCCGTAGAGCATTCTAGGCATAAAACAAACTTATGCCAAAATGCATGTTTCTGCAGAGAGGTGTGTGAAGAGTTCTGAAAAGACAAACTTGGCACTCAAAAATGTTGCTCGGCTTTAGAAGTTAAACATTAACACTCACAGAAAGGTAACAGAGTAAAATGCCACAGGCCTGGTTTATGACCCAAAACGTTCATCCTGACAGAATATCTCAACATGCACGCATTTATTTCCAAATGTGTTGCACTAAGCTATGCAACATCCAAGCCACTGGTAGGCACCCATATAACCATTGCCTGGTGGCTGCTTGCACAATGTTTCATCCCAAAATAACAAGTGTATTACACCTTGTATGTGCACATAAAAGCAGTGCATGCAAGACAATAGCAGCATTTCACACATTAAGTGACATCGCAACTTAACTATAGCATATGATTCCGGTAAAAATTTAGCAAAACAAAATAACAAAAGCCATTATTACTGGTTGCAATTAACAGTATACACCAGCTGTCAGGTAGCTGGAGCAGAAGGCCTATAGTGTTTGATGGCATTTCACTGTATTAATACTACACTCTTAAAAAAGATGGTGCTTCACAGGTTCTTTAGTAAAGAAAATGGTTCTATATAGAACCATGAACACTCAAAGATCCCTTTGCATAATTAAAGGGTTCTTTGCATCATGAAAGTGTTCTTCAGATTCATGGAAAATGTGCTATAGATGGTTCTATATGGAACCTTTTTTAAAAATGGTTCTATATAGCACCCAAAGGGGTTCTTCTATTGTTACAGTGTCAAGCTTGTAAAAATAAAAGACACTTTTTGGGTGCTATATAGAACCTTTTTGAAAAAGGTTGAATATAGCACCCAAAAGTGTCTGTTGTGCAGCATCTATAAAACATTCGTGTGTGTTTTCCATCAGTCTGAAGAATGCTTCATGATGCAAAAAACGCTTTAACCATGTAAATGGTTCTTTGAGTGTTCTTGGTTCTATATAGAACCATTTTCCTTAGAACCCTTGAAGCGCCATCTTTTTAAGAGTCTAGGATCAGCTGTCTAGTATCCTCTTAACTTTCCCTTTTAAAGCAGGATCAGTTATGCTCTCTGTGTAAGGAAACATCAAGCAGTTCAGTGCTCTTTAAAGGGCCTATATCATGAAAAAACAGATTTCCTTTGCTTTTTTGAAATTGAAAGTAATATGTAAACATTGTTAAAGTTTCAAAACCACTCACCACCCAGTCTATGCTGTCCATTTATGGAAACTATGATGAGTTTTTAACTCATTGTTTCTGTGAGAAGCGTATTGTTTATCGCAACACCAAAATTGATCATGATGGCAACAAAATATTGTTATATATGCCCACCTCCAATTTGAACCATTTTTTTTTCAGTGCTACATGATAAATATAAGATAACTGTAACTATATTAAACTAATAGATTCTATTTTGGCATATAATACTTCTATAATAAACTCACCTGTAGGCCTACTGTCATACATGTCAATTTATAATGCACTGAGACAAAACATGATGTAATGCTTTTAGTTGATTCAAGTGTGTCCATCATTTCAACATGGACAGAATATATTATGTCAGTTTTGACTTTATTTTTACTTATGTTTTACAATAATAATGCAGATGCAGTACATTTTTATTCGTGAGCATTCTTGCAGTGTAACTGTTTAGGACTCCATTGTAACCAATAGTAACTGTCTCAACTTGCTTTTGGATTCTTAAAGGGGTCCTACAGAAGTCCCTGTAGCATTTCCTCATATATCAATGCAACACATAAATAAAACAATAAACAATTCGGCGTACACATGCACGTCCATACCAGCAACCTGGGTGCCTGGAAATCTCTAGAGCAGCTTTAAATGAGCATTTGGTTCATATTTTTACACTTCAACTCAATGTTACACACTTTAAAAAGATGTTTCTTCAAAGGTTCTTTAGTAAAAGCAATGGTTCTATATGAGTCATGAGTTCCATATAGAAACATATCGCTGATGTCAGAAGAAAACCTCATCTCCATTTTTGTCATTTTTTAGTTTTTAATATACTTTGAAAATGCCTGTCTCCCTTTACATTGTGTGTAAATTTCATGAAGAATGGAGCAAAAGAAATGGCCCAAAATGACTTGGAAAAAACGTCTGGTTCCATTGACTTACATTAAAAGTGAAGTAGGTTTTTTCCTTTTCCTGTAAAGTTACCATTTTTAGACAGGAGGTTTTCTTCTGACAACAGCGATATGCATGCTTAAATGGTTCTTTGCATGGTGAAATGGTTCTTTGGATTAATGGAGGATGTGTTTTATATGGTTCTACAGTGTCGCAACAATGGCACAACACTTTATGGTGCTATATAGAACCATTTTCAAAAAACAACACATTCACCATTAATCTGAAGAACTATTTCACAATGCAAAGAACCATTTAAGCATGCAAGCCCTTCTATATAGAACTCATGGTGGTATAAAGAGCCATTGCCTTTACTAAAGAACTATGTTTTTTTTAATGTTACACCAAGTGTGTGAGGTATGCGAGTCTCTCTGCCAGGTACAAACGCCACCCTTGTGCGCAAAACGAGAGAGCTTAGTGCGCAAAAGCGCGCGCGCCAGTGCTCACCTTGGTCAGAAGCGTCTTCACCTGGCGCGCGACTCTGCGAGGAACCTGCACGAAGAAGGAAAAGTAGTCATGAAACAGTGCGCGGATTAAAACGGCTCTTCCAGAGACAGTCCACAAAACTGTGACTCACGGTGGCAAAGTCCGCTCTGGAGAGCGCGTAGTCCTCCAACTCCACCAGCTCTGCGACCTCAGCATCCTCGCTCAGAGCGGCATTAACCGCCCGGCTGAGACACAGCGCTAACGCCAGAAACAGCATGGCTCATGGGTGGAGGGGTTTGGTTTCCTACGGTAGCACGAGACACCCGGTTCGGTGGGTGTTTGCACACGAGCTGGACTGGAGCGCAGTGGAGCTGGAGCTGGAGCTGGAGGACGAAAACTGCGAGTGATCCGCCCATCAGCCATACCCTGCTGCTCACACGGACAAACAGGGGCTGTGTCTCAATTCAGCAACTGTAGAAAGGGCAATTCCACTCACTTTTTAAAATTTCTCGGTAATTAAGTGGTTAAAAGGTAGAGTCATTCGGAATGGTCTGATGTGAGATGGTTCGTTCTAGAGAAACTTACCGAGTCAGAAGCTCTTAGGGGCCGTGGTTAAAAAAAGGAATGATATTGCGACCACTGGCAATAATTTTGCGGTCCCTCGCAAATGCAGTGGATTTTGCATGGAAACGCAATTTCGTTTCCTAAAAAAGGCACTTTAGGGGCTCCATAGGAAGCAGACGTCTGAAGAGTTTAAGAACCAGAAAGTTTGACCATATCAGCCCAGTTTTATCAAACCTACACTGGTTGCCAGTTAAATTACACATTGATTACAAAATTCTTTTACTGACGTATAAAGCTCTAAACGGCCTCGCCCCTCAGTACCTGAGTGAACTTCTCTCATACTAAGAACCATCACGCCTACTTAGAACACGAGGTGCTGATACCTAAAATCAATAAAGTTACATCAGGGGGTCGAGCCTTCTGATACAAAGCCCCCCAGCTCTGGAATAATCTTCCGGTCAGTGTTCAAGATTCAGACACAGCCTCAGTCTTTAAGTCTAGGCTAAAAACCCACTTGTTTAGTCAAGCCTTTGGTAATTAGTTTTCCCTGTTAGATAAAAGGTGCAGATCTGGGGGTTCATGGTCATAGAGTATTATGGTAAACTGGGAGTGTTGGTGCCGTCGTCCCACTGCTCTCACGCGTTCACTCAAGTTTGTTGACGGTGGAGTGGAGGGGCGCTGACATCTCAGGGAGCCCTCATGTCTCTGTTACCGTTCTGGCTCTCCCTCTTAGTTAGGCTGTAGTAACTACACCTGCCGGAGTCTCTGCTGCACTGAACAACTACCCATCCTGTGTGGTCTGATGTTGTTACTTCTTCTGCCTTGATTGGGTGCCCACTGCTCGCCAGCCTTCTTGACCGGTGTGACCATCATGGAGCTTCTCGCAGTACAACGCCGTGCAAACCTCACCTGCATCAACTGACCTTTCTGATAATGCTGCTGCTGCACAGACTCAAATTATTTAATTATAACCATTGCTTCTCCTGTTTTCCCCGTTTCTGTATTTTAATAGTTTATTCTAACGTTTGCTATCCATTGTCGAGCAGAGGAAGATAGGTTCCCCCTTTGAGTCTAGGTTCCTCTTAAGGTTTCTTCCTTTTACTCTTAGGGAGTTTTTCCTTGCCACTGTCACCCTTGGCTTGCTCATTTGGGGCTTGGACCTGGATTTTTCTGTAAAGTTGCTTTGTGACAACAACTGTTGTAAAAAGTGCTGTATAAAAAAACTTTGACTTGACTTGAATGCCTCTAAACGCTCCCTTAAAGAAAGTTATAACATGAAATGGTTATGATTACACTGCCTGATGTCTAAGACATCGTTTTATCATAGCTTTGAGAAAGCTTTGGCCCAAAACATGTATTTTTTTAGATTAGTTACTATTTTACTATTAACAACATTACATACAAAACATGCATATGCTTACTAGTTTTTTGGATAGTAAATAATATGGCTAAACTTGTGTTGTAGACATGGTGATCCATGCTTTCTATCAGCACTATTGTAAAGAAATCTGAGTTGGTAAGTTTTTCTACAGTGAACCATTTTACATCAAACCAGTCAGAATGACTGAAAATTTTCAAAAACCGTTAGTATTCCCCTTTAAGGATATGACCCTATTGAGTGTTCTAGCATGCTCTAAAGTCAAACTGCGTTACATTCACCACATTCAAATGTGCACATCATTTCCACGCAAATAAAATATATTACACCAACACAGGGGAGCAAGTTGGGTCTGACAAGATACCACTGTCAGGAGGCCACAGCTCACACACAGCAATTCAATCATAAAACTGGGCAAATAAAACACACCTACAGTTACACCTACCATATTGATATCTCATGCATTATATATCAATATTAAAACAAACAAACAAACAAAAAAAATAGTACAAAACAGGAATATCGTACATATTCAGTTTAGAGATTCAGTTGCCTATTGCAATGGCAATTTTTCTTTCTATTGTGTAACTAAAATTCTTAGCTGGTTCTGCATTTTGTAGAAATATTTAAACTAAAAACTAATTACTGTTTTCAGTGTATTTGTGGACCCCATAGTAACCAATAGCAATTGTCTCAACTTGTTTTTGGATTCTTAAAGGAATTCTACAGAGGTCCCTGTAGCATTTCTTCATGTTTCAAAGCTACATAAAATTAAATCAATAAACAATTCATTGTATTCACACGCTTCCATAGCAGCAACCTGGGTGCCTTACTCATATGTTTAGTATGAGCGTAACTGAGCATAATTAACAAACTGAAGGAAATCTCTAGAGCAGCTTCAAATGAGCATTTGGTTTATATTTTTACAGTTCAGCACAATGCTACACCCTTAAAAAAGATGGTTCTTCAAGGATGCCCCTAGTGGTGTTTGTTGAAGAATGATGGTGTTTAATGGGCAATGAAGGTGTTTGTTGGAGAATGAAGGTCTTTGTTGGAGATGGTGTTTGTTGGAGAATGATGATGTTTGTTGGAGAATGATAGTGTTTGTTGGAGAATAGTTGTGCTCAATGGAGTGAATTATGGGGTGTGACTGAGAATAATGATGTTTAATGGAGAACGATGATGTTTGGTGGAAAAAAATGGTGTTTGGTTTGAGAATGTTGCTGCTTATTATAGAATTATGGTGTTTGATGAATGATGGTTTCTGGTATAGAACAATGGTTCTATATAAGTTAGATGCTAACTAATAAGAGCTGTGTGAGAATGAGAAAGAGGCAGAGAATGATGGTGTTTGTTGGAGAATTATGTTGTTTGATGGAAAATAATGATGTTTGGTAAATAATGGTGGTGTTTGATGGAATAATGGTAAAGGTTGGAGAATGATGTTTGTGGGAGAACGATAGTGTTTTTTTAGAGAATGAGGGTTGTTGGACAATGAAGGTATTTGTTGGAGAGTGATGGACAGAGACGGTGCATTAAGTAGGCTAATGTTAATAGCATGCACCTACTACTGACTATTTATCCTATGGTTAGGAACCAAATGCAGCAGTAAAGTTAATGTTCAGTTGACCTAGTTTAATTTCTACATGGTGACAGCCTACAAAAGCTGAATCTTCGGTTAGTTTACTACATACAACAAGGAGGTGATGTGAGACAAAGCCAGACACTGGATGTAAGAACTAATATCTGTCTATCCTTAAACACCCACAATTACACTCCACAGACACAAACACAGAGTGCCCTAAAATTGACCCTTCAGTCTCAACCCCTTCATTTAGGACCCCTGGCTCCAACAGATGGAGACTGCACTTAAATGTAAGCAGCTTAAACAGGGTTTTGAATACTGGTTGGGTTTGAAAGACTAAAGAAAGTCTATGCCATTATACATCCTTTGGACAAGCTGCAGTAGTATTTTGTTTGTTTTGTATTAGAGAGTGCAAGTTTTACTTTAATAAAGAAAAGCTTGCTAAGTAACTCAGAACTGATCTAATTTAACACAAATTGCTAGAGCAGGTACTTTGGGGAATATGGTTTATCAGTGCAAGGAACCATGAATAGTAACGGACAGGATGTATCTGACAACGGCAATCAACTGACACTAAGACCAGATGTGAACAATGAATGCCAGCCACAGACACCATCTGTTGTTAATGGAGAGACAGGGACCTCTAGTGGCCACCTTGGCAACCCAAAGGCAAGAATGTGATGGAGAATAAGATAAAGATTAGTTTGCATAATGTTTAATTAGATTAGATTAACCTTATTGGCCTTAATGAAAATTTGCTTTTGGCTTGATATGACCTATTCTACAGAATTAGTTCAAAATGCAATCCCACAGTAAGTAAGCAATTAAGTAAGTAAATACATAATTAAATAAAATATTCAGATCTTAGATATTTACAAGCATTATGTTAGGGCAGCATGGTGATGCAACGGGTAGTGCTGTCGCCTCACAGCATGAAGGGCTTGGGTTAGATTCCCCAGCTGGGCGACCAGAATCCTTTCTGTGTCGTGTTTGCTTGTTCTGTCTGGGTCTGTTTCCTCACACACAGATATGCAGTTAGGTGAATTGAAGAGACTAAATTGTTCCTAGGTGTATATGTCTGTGTGTCTGCCCTGGGATGGACTGGCAACCTGGCCAGGGGGTTTTCTGCCTTCCTCCCAATGACGGCTAGGATAGGCTCCAGCACCCCGGTGACCCAGGAGGATAAGCGGCTTAGACTGTGCGTCTGTCTTAAATATATATTTATCATGTCACAAACTGTCACTATTAAAACAGTCACTACTGTCACCTGGTTAATGATTGTTTTGTTAGTGACAAAATAGAATGTTTAATCATTTTTTAAATAAAATAAACATGATCAGAGCTTAGGGCCATTTAAAACTGTAATTTTAAACTATTGGAAATTTCAAAGTTCTCATAGAAATCATGTTTTGCCACTGCCCCCAAGTCATGTGAATCATCAGTGGTTCTTGCATTACTACAGGTATAGTTATGTTAGATTAATGGCTCGTCAGATCAGCCTAAAAATTTCTTTCATGTGGTAGCAAGCAATTAAACTAGTTTCATTCAACTCAAAAATTACGTTGATTGAAAGAATCCTTAATTCAAAGACTTTATTAAGGTTGAATAAAACTAGTTAATTTTACATGTTACCACATGGAGTAACTTTTTTAGGTTGAATTGATGAGCCATTTTTTACAATGTAATAAGAGGGTTAAAAGTCTGAAATATGTTTTTAACTCTGACTTGCAACCAATTTGGTACAATGGACTACAGAAATATGCAGAATAACCTACATAAAACACATCAACGCATACTGAAAACATACAAAAGAGTCAGTAGTGCAATTCAGCAATCAAGCAGTAATTAT